CCACGTTTTTCGTTTTTCGAATTTTTGTTCTTTAATTATTATTCTCCACTACAAAAACGTGGTTTTTAAAAATATTATTTTTATTTTGATTTTTTTTGTACTCACTTCCAAAATCTCTATTTTTTCACTCACTGTACACAAAACTTTTCATCTGACATGTGACGCTAATTTGAAATAATTGAATCGACAACAAAAGACAATCGCAAAAATAATAATTTTTCTTAAATTTTAATTTTAATTTACATTGTATGTCTTTTTTCTCTTAATTTTCATACATTGTCATCCAATTCTGAACTATGTGCCAAATTTGAAGTCTGTAGATAGTCGGGAAGTTAGTTTAAAATCGATTACAAAATTCCACCCAAGCAGACATACACGAAGGCAAGTTGATATAAACGTGGCTAAATATTATCAAACTTTAATTGATTATTTTAAATCTTTTAACTAAATGTTATAGTTGGAATAAATATAATTTTAAACTATTTATATTTATATTTAGTTTCTTGTTATAGTTAGTATTCGAAAATATATTTAGTTTCTAATGAAACTAGTGCAATTAAACAACCATAATGTTAAACAAAAACCAATAAAATTATTCTTTTCATTGAATGTACCAATTTTTGTAAGATCGCACTATTCCTTTTTAAATTTCATCAATACATTTCTTCAAATTCGCATTCCATGTCCATGTTTTTAGTTTGAAGGTACACTTAAACAAAAAACGTAAAGCAGCTATAAACAGCGTGCTTGTAACTTTGTCTTTTTTAGCATAAATCACGCCAACATAACATACAGATGCGATCATCTAAAATTAACACAAGCATGCGCAGTTGCTTAAATCTTGCGTACAGGAGCGTACAGAAGTTAACGTAAAAATGCGAAATCTCTCTAATAATTATAATTTAGCTCGGTTCTGAATAATCCGTGTGTGAGTCTTACAGGATTAATAACAACATTGCGTAAGCAAAGTTTAAAAAACATAATGTTTGACATTTCTTTCAATAATTCGACTGGGAGTCAAACTTCAGTACAAATTTTTTAAAACATTATTTTTGTCATAATAATAATTTTTTGTAAATAGACAGCATAATTTCTAACAAAAATACACTATTTGGAAACATTATATTACTTAAAACTATATAAAATTGCAAATATTTGGGCAATAAACAGTATAATATTACAAATATTGTAAAAATAAACAATTTAATGGGTGGAAATATTTCGACACTATGCAATAAAATGTCTGGAATATTTTAACAAAAAGCAATACAATAGCTAGAAATATTTTAATGAAGCAATCGAAAAAGAGGAAGAAAGAAAGAAAATTGTAAATGCGATAAAACCTAATATTCTTTAGTAAATTGCAAACTGGCGCGTATAATACAGATACATTTTATTTACTAGATAAACACAAAAAAAAAATGTTATCTGAAAATTGTTTTTCCTAAACAAATATTTATTTGCGGAAGTTTTATCAGAGTCCTTTCAAAACTAAAAAAGAGCTTTATTTTGCAATTCCTGTCATCGAACCTGTTTTTATCACATTTTCCATATAAGCAATGTATCTTCGAAACCATATTTGTCTTTTATCGCAACCAAAATGTAAACATCTTAGATTATTAAATAAATATTAGCCAAAGCCACAGCAAAAACTGCTTCAAATCAGTTTTCTTATCAGGTCTAACATAGAAATTTAGCGAAAAAATTAAATCAAATTAAATAAGCTTTTTATTCGTATTGTATCATACTAAATATGGCAGGAATTCTAGTGGAATCAGGGAATTTGAGTTTGAGATAAGTTGGAAAATTTAAACGAATTTTCATGTTCAAGTGTTGGTTGACATTTTGATATGGAAATTCGAACGTTAACTAGCGTCTAACTGATTCTTCATATTTTTGATATTTACAAAAGTTCGTTTTTGCCGTTCTGAAGACTTTTTTTAAATTTATAATATACTTCATGGGATGTCATACCTAGTTTACATTCTGATTAGACTAATAATATCATTTCAATTCATGATTTTATACATTTCGATCAGAATAATAATTTCATTTCAATTTATGGTTTTGTACATTCTAATCAGGCAAATAATTTTGTTTCAATTCATAGTTTTATACATTCTCATACTAATAATTTAATTCCAATTCATGATGATGTTATACATTTTGATCAGAAAAATAATTTCATTTTAATTCATGGTTTTTATACATTCTGATACTAATACTTTCATTTCAATTCATGACGATGTTGTACATTTTGATCAGAATAATAATTTCATTTTAATTCATGATTTTATGCATTTCGATCAGAATAATAATTTCATTTCGATTCATGGTTTGGAACATTCTAATTGGGCAAATAATTTAATTTCAATTCATGGTTTTATGCACTCTGATACTAATAATTTCATTTCAACTCATGACGATTTTATACATTTTGATTAGAATAATAATTTCATTTCGATTCATGGTTTTGTACATTCTAATTGGGCAAATAATTTCATTTCAATTCATGGTTTTATTCATTCTGACACTAATAATTTCATTTCAATTCATGATGTTATACATTTTGATCAGAATAATAATTTCATTTTCATTCTTGATTTTTTAGTCCTTGAAGGTTGATCAAAACGTTGCTAAATCGTGCTTTGTCATACCTCCAAATAAAGGTTATATCTTTTAGTTACGTTATGTTAACCAAGAAAATTGGTGGCTTTGAGACGACTTTTATATACGTATTGAACAATAATGAGGAAGTATTTGTGGTTGTGAAGACTATGCGGACAATATTGATTCTGACGTTACAATATAAGTGAAAAAGGTTAGGAAAAATGAAATAGCCTGAGTCAATGATGAAACCCAAAGAGTTAATACATAACGTTTTATTATGCTGTTGTTCAGTACTTCAGCAAACTGTACCCTTAGAGCAGGGGTTCCTAAAAAGTGCTCTGAGTAACACTAGGGTTCTGTGAAAAGAATACAGGGTACCAAAAGTTAGCACTTTTTTCCTTATCAGTTATAATTTTCAAAACTTATAATTAAATATGCATCCAAGTAACTATCGATTATTTTTAAACTGTTTCTGCCATTGTAAAAAATTTATTAAATTATTTGTGAAGAGAGAAAAGCAAAATTTAAAAAAAAAAAATTTTCTAATAATGTATTGAAGAAACTGATAACACTATACATTTATCAAAACTAACATTAATATTTCGTTACGAACCTTTCAATTTAAATAAAAATTTAATTGAAAAATTTCAATTCAAATTAAAGAAAGAAGAAGAACATTTCTCTAATAACCATTTTCAACGTTTATTTTAGTCCTTTTTAATTTTCATTTCATCGGGAAAAAAATTTCGGCTATTTCTTTCTTAATTTATGCATGCACCAAAATTAAATTAAGAACTAGGCTAGGTGGCAAAGAAATGCTGGGAGTTCAATTGTCCGATATAATACCCAATTTTAAGACAAATTTATAAAACGATACGATGAAAAAAAATTCATTCTTTTCACCCATTAGTTTCAAAATAATAAATAAGCTTTTGTTAATGTATTAACAATTGTTAAAGGAATTGGTTCTTAAGGATTATCCCGTCGATCTGTACTTTGGGATTATCTCGTTGATCTATCAACACTCGTAAGAATGAGAAAATCCTTTGGCGCCATAATGAAAAGCAATTTCCGAAATAAGCAATTTAAACACATTAAATTTAACAAATAACAATAATGATGAAATAATAATAACAAAAATAATTTAGTGTACAAATACGTAATAAAAAATCAAAACAAAAATGATAAAATTTGATAAAATACGATAAAAATAATGAAACGATGTGAATGATACAAGGAATGATGAACAAACGACGATGTGAATGATAATGCAAATGATAAAATGATAAAAAAATTACATATAAATTTTTTTTGACATATTTTAAAAGAATTGCGTCCATATTTGATATCAAGAAAGTTTATGTGATCAATTTTAAGGCCATAAATTAGGTGTCTTAAGGTAGTGACCATATGACACACAATGAATTTTTTAAAATTATCATTTAGAATTAAGTTTTACTTGCCACATTAAAAAGGAGTTGAGCAGTTATAAGACATTTAAGGCTTTGAATTACAATTTAATAAAAATAAAATCGAAAAAAGGAAAAAAAAGTGTCTCAAAGAAACAATATGGTTAATTAAAATTTTTACTTTGATTATTTCTGAGTTCATTTTATTTATAACCGAGCCAATTATAACAGAAAATGGTCCTTTCAGGCACGTCAAACTCTATTGTTACAATCCTGTGGGTTGCTGTGTGGCCAACGTGGTATTCTTTGCTATACACATATTTCTGTATACCTTTAAATTTTTTCATTTTTCAAGCTTCTAAGGCAGCAAAATATAGAGTAAAGTTGAACACCCAAAACAGCAGCAGTGAAATGTAGAGCCGTGAGCAAATAGTATCCTTAATCTTTCGTTTTTCAAAACAAAAAATGAACTGAAAGTTAATATGCGTTTAAATTTTTTTTAATACTTGTTTCTTCTTTTTAATCTTTAAAGGAAAAAATGAAATATTAACATTTTAGTCTTTGGAAAGTAAGCGAAATGCAATTCTGTATTTTGCTAAGTAATTATAACGTTTTTTTTATTTCGAAATAAAAATATGCAAATCTTATTTGATCTCCTATTTTATACTAGTTTGTTCTTTTATTCTTTGATCTTTTATTTTTGAATAGTTTTTTCTCCAATTGCAATTAAATGCAATTGCAGTAATATGCAATTCCGTATCTTGGTGAGTAATTATACCCTTTTTTTCTAATTTCAAAATTAAAATCGGCAGTTCTTTTTTGATATCCTTTAAATTAATCCTATATATTAAATAAAATAAAATCATTTGTGCTAAACTTGCAGGAGAACGTTCTGGGATGTTTAGGGAAAATTTTCTTGTAAGTGAAGATAGCATCTACTACTGATTAATATTTTTTTTTTTATTAAATTCTATAATAGTACTAACTAGCGGCTTTTTTCTCGCCAGTTATCAAAAAAAAAGTAAAAAAGAAGAGGGTTGGAAAAAGTGACAGCCATAGTATGACATTTTTTATTGTTTCTAACCATCCACGGGTTTCTTTCCTCTCATTCTTTGTTTCCTCTTCATTATCATCCACTAAGGATTCTTTTCCATCGTCTTCCCCCGAGATTGGAGCTTCATCGAGATGCACCGTCTTATCTCTTCTCTTCAGTTCTTTCAACAATTTATTATGAAATGCATTTAGATGACTTTCAAACTTCACATTTTTGAGTCCTTCATCAATATCTCTAATTTTAGCCAAAACTTCACTTTTAAAGTTTTCGTTTTCCGTTCTTAACCGGTTGACAATGTCTTCCTTCTGTTCTGCTCCGACTTCATGGATTTTAGCTAAAATTTCACTTTTAAACTGCTCATTTTCTGCTATTAACTGATTGACAATGTCTCCCCTTTGTTCTGTTCCAACTTCATGAAGAGATTCTAAGGGTAAAGATTAACATGTTATAAGTTTCAAACAAGTTATTCAGCGAGTGATAACATGCATGTAATACGAAATTACCTTGAATAACTTTTGATTTAATGATCAGATTGCAGTGAAATCGGTTGAACAGTTCCTGAGAAATCGAAGTTTGAAAATACATTTCATTTAATACTTAATTTCTCAGGAACTATTTTACCGATTGCGTACAAAAGTTGCATTTTGTAATGCAAATTAACGTACTTTAAATGATGTAAAAATTAAGTGTCTCACAATTCAAAATGTATGAATAGTATATAGTATATGAATAATAGTAATAGAAATAAGAATGATAACAGACACTCTTAGCTATTAAAAATAAATACTTTTATTTCCAATTTCTTTTATTTTTTCTAAAATTTAATGGAAAATTACAAAACGAAAATTATTTGACATATTTTAAATAACTTTTTGATGACCACATTCGATATCAAAAAAGTTTATGAAACATAATAATATTTCGGTTTCTGATTTTAGTGGGTTTGGTTTTGATGCAATAAATTAAAGCTACCCAAGCCAAGGCGGTGATTATGTGATGCCTTTTTTTTTAAGTTTCATTTAGAATGAAATTTTATTTACCCCAATAAAGAGTTGTACTGTCGGCAAAAGAAAAAATGATATCACCCTGAATAACTTTAGTTCTAATGATCGGATTTTCACGTACTATGCGTCAATCTTAATGGTTCTTGGGAGTGACCCTAAATGTGCAAATTATTTAGTGCTAACTATTAATTAATTTAAGAAATCGAACACAAAAACCTACTTTCTCTAAATAAACATAGATTTTTTTTACATATTTGGATTTTTAACCATCAAAATTAAGGAGGTAGCCGCAATCTGGGAAATTAAAAATACAATTATTTCAAAATTCAATTGAATATTACTCTATGAATATTAAAAATACAATTATTTTAAAATTTAATTTTTCAGCAACGATTTCGTACAAATTTTGTATTTCACTATGCAAAGTAACGTACTTAAATGATGTAAAAAATTGCGTTTCTCACAATTAAAAACTATAATATGAATAATAAACAGTATATGAATAATAGTAAGAGAAATAAGAATAATAACAGAAATTCTTAACAAATAAAAATTAATACTTTGATTTCGAATTTCTTTTATTTTTTCTAAAATTAAAAAAAAAATAACGTAAGGAAATTTTTTTGTCATATTTTAAAAAACATATTCTAAAAAATAAAATAATATTTTGGTTGATTTTAATGCAAGAAATTAAAGTTACTCAAACCAAGGTGGTTACTATGTGACGCCTTTTTTTTTTGTCTTCTTTTAGTTTTCTTATCATTTAGAATGAAGGTTTATTTACCACAAAGAAGAATTGTAAAATTACAAAAATCCGTGCTCTATATTCCAATTTAAGGAAAACGAAATAGATAAAAAGAAAAGAAAGTGTCACATAGTATATTTCGGTAAGTTAACAAGTTTTTTTGTTCTTTCTTTCTTAAAAAAATTCATCTGAGTTCCTTTTATTTGTTACCATGTCAATTATAACAGATAATGGTCCTTTCAGCACTTCAAACTTACACTCTGTAGTTACAATCCTGTGAGTTGAAGAGAGGCCCACGTGGTATTCTTTGCAATGCACATTTTTCTGCTTGACATCGCTTTTTTGAGTTCTTCATAGGAAGCAAAACGAAATGTCAAGTAAATTTGAACACATAGCAGGGGCGGTTCTTAAATATTTTTTAATATGTAGAGAAATGTAGGTCTGTGAACAAATAGTATCTTCAATCATTCTTTTTTTAAAAAACAAAAAACAACCTGAAACTTATTCTGTATTTGAATTTTAAGAATAATTGTTTCTTCTTTTTAGTCTTCTGTGGAATAAAATATAATATTAACAATTTTAGTTTTTGGACTTTAAGTGAAATGTAATTCAGAAATTAGGTTAGGAATCGAACTGTTTTATTTTAATTTCAAATTTCAAAATATTCAGCTCTTATTTGCCCTCCTTTTAATTAATCCTAGATTTTAAATAAAATGAAATCATTTGCGTTTAACTTACAAGGGATCACTCAACGGTGTTTAAGGAAAACTCCATTGTAAGTCCTGAGGGCATCTACTCGTAATTAATGCTTTTCTTTCATTACATTTTATATGTTTCTACAATGAGGCGTTTATTTCGCCTATCATCAAAAAGACCATAAGATAGGAAGAGCCTTGGAAAATTGACAGGCATAGTGTGATATTTGTTATCGTTTCTAACTAACCACTGCTTTCTCTCCCCTCATTCGCAGTTTTCTCTTCCTTATCATCCTTTAAAGACTTTTTTCTTTCTTCAGAGGTTGAAGTTTCATCGAGATGCGATGCCCAGGTCAACATTTTTGCTGGTATTTGTTTGCTAGACAAGCATGAAATGCTATGTACTGGCAAAAAAACCAGCTTGAACTAGCAAAAAAACCAGCTAAAACTAGCAAAAATATTTGCTGGTACCAGCAAAAAAACTAGCTTGCCATACCGTGTATTGGCGCACCTTGTTGCTTGTCCAGCATACAGATACCAGCTTGTGTTGCTGGAATAATTTGCTAGTCATGAAGAGATCAAGACTTCAACTTCATGAAGAGATTATAAAGGGATTAAGATTAACATGTTGCAACTTTTAAACAAGTTATTCATAAATATTCATAAATGTAGTGAGCAAAAAAAAAAGCCTGATTGCCCTGAATAACTTTTGATTTAATGATCGGATTTGAGCGAAACCTGTCATATAGTTCCTAAGGAGTCGAATTAAGAAATACACTTTCTCAGGAACTATTCCTGCGATTTCAATGACGACAGTGATGCTTAATTAATGTTGGTAATTTGTTAATTAACACGAGAAACTGACCGAAATTATAGAAAAAATATTGGAGAAAAGATACTTACTCATTTTGAATCGACATCTTATTACTGACACTAATGCTGTATTAATATTGATAATGTGTATTAATTGAAATAAAATAATGTAAGCTATGCGTTAAAAAGCAAAGTTAAAGGAGAAAAGATTATTAAAAAATTTGCTAAGGAAAACCGTAGAAAATCACCATTCACAGATGACGCTTAATTCACGGTAATATGTACTACTGGTATTATACTAATTGGTGCAAATTTAATAAAAATTCTACAACGGGTTTTCCGTGAATTCAGAAAATATTTTTCCTGTGGTAGCAAAGACTGTTTATTAATATTCTAATGAATGGGAACAAAAGAACTCTGTTCTTCCACTACTAAATATTTTAATCGTAAATTAAAGGTTAGATAGAGAAATGGCCATTCTCCAAAATCCCTATCAAGTTCTAACAAGAATTAAATTTTTTTCCCTTCAATTTCGGCTTCAGTTGGCTGTTACTGACAAATATATTTTTAACAAAACTTAATTCTTGAAGGGTTGTACAATAAGTACTAAATTAGATAATATAGTTATAAAATATTATAATGATATATTTCGTTATGATTAAAACGGAACCAATGCTAAGCCGTTTAAATACCGATACCTCAGAAAGGCCCTTCGAAAAGGATACGTACCAGAGAAAATTGTTCGATAATAGTAAATTTTGACTTATATTTTGGTTTGGCAGCGAGTAATAGCATCTTGCCAAGTGATGTTAAATACATTTTCTCTTTATTCTAATGGGATGAATTACAAAAAACACGTTTTACTTACTTCAATAACGTAAAGTCACCGTAAATGGCAGCAAGTAATATTAAATAAAAAAATGAAATTATTTTAGTTACATTAATTGAAAAACTTGGTGGAAGAAGCAGATGAGTGACATTTTCAGAATGAAAAAAAAGTTATATCCGAACTATTTTATTACCAATTTAATAGAAGACGGGACTAATAATTCTTCGCTTTATTGCTCCTAATTTTAAATAAAACCTTATTGCCTAATTTGAAATAAAAAATCATACTAGCATACTAAAAATTTATGTGATTAGTTGTGCTAAGATTTAAAGAAAGGCAAAAACAGTGATTCATTAATTCCCCTAAAAATGTCACTTACCTGGTTCTTCCATTAAGCTCTTTCATTGTGTCGCTATGTGCTTTTCAGTTATGAGCATGATTTCGTAGTGTTTCTCTACTGTGATTTTTGATACTTTACAGACTTTTTATTCATCCCGTGCGAAGAACGGGCATTCAGCTAGTTAAAAAATAAATAAAAATCAACTGTTTCACGAGGAAAAAGTAATTAAAATACAGTTAGTTCTACGCAACAACGAAATTATTTCTGCATGCACAATGCTGATGATTTTTACTCTATAATGCGTTCACTTTGAATTTTATTTTATGCAAATCTAAATAAAAGAGCATTAAGTAGATATAAAGTATACTGATCTAGAGAGCCTCCCTATACAGAACCTTTATTCAAACTCTTAGAGATTTGCAGAGTAAGTAAATTGTTTTTTATTTTAAAACTGACATTGAACAGCCGACTTAATTGTGAGTTAATGACATTCCCTTTCATCAATTCCGTAGCCTTGTAATTTTGAGCCCAACCCAGAAGACAAGGGAACGAAAAGCATTTTTAGAAGCTGGCCTTTGTGGAGGGCTCTCTGATTGAACCAGCCCCAGTATTTGTGTTACAGGGAGAAAAAACCCAGCTAGAAGTAATGTGAGATACCACTTACATCAACAAAAGTATAATTGAGAAAATTAAATAAATAAAAATTGTAGATAGATACTATTTTTGCATGCACAAATCAATTTGTTTCGACCAATGGTAAAAAAAAATTAAAAAAAAACGTATGATAGTTTTATTTGTTATAAATATTTATATTTTACTAAATGAATTATGTTTGCAATGACAATATTCAAATTACTTTTATTTAATTTAAAATCTTTAACGTGTATCTGCAAGTGTGGAAAAATACAACTTAGTAAAACGAGAAAGATAAAAAAATCTTCAAAATCAGCTGATAATTCTGGCGTTACATTCGAATGTGCTTCATATTAAGATACAAA